AGTTCTCTGTGGCCAAAACAGAAAATGGTTCAGACTAAAAGACAAGATTTTTTTTTTTTTTTTTTTTTTGTCACAGACCAAATCCCCTAGACTTCTAACAGCCAAGAGCTTGCTGGAGCCCCCACCTCTCGACTCAAGGATTCTGTGATTCCAGTAACACTGGGAGGGTCACTGTCTCACATGGCCAGGCACCATTTACACCTCTGCCTGCCTGTCCCCTTGAGAAAAACATCCTAGGAAACCATGGCCTACACAATGTTCCCCAGATGAGCAGCTCTCCAAAGTTGCCTCTGACCCATGCTGGCAAGGCCATTCTAGTGCCATTCATCAGACCTCTAGCCTTGTCTTTGCCACCCTCGGTGGTGTCTCCTTCCCTAGTAGGAAGGTAGGGCTCACCCTCTTGTGCCTGCTCCCTGAGATGTCAAAAGGAGAAGAGCACCAGTTCTGCCTGCCAGAGAGTTTAGGCCACACAGGGAAGCTCTTCACGTAGGCCTGGTCACCGAGGAGCAGCAAGGAAAGCTTTTGTAGAAAATACACATTTTCATTCACTTGGTCAGAAGTCGTTACAAGGTCAAGAAGACACTAGGGGCAAAAAAGAAAAACGTAAGATGGTTAAATTAGAGGAGTTTGAGAGAAGAAAGGGACATTACTGTAAATGAGTAGCACATTAAAATAATGAAACCTTCAGCAAGCACTTGGCCTAGTAGTTAAGATGCCTGCAATACATGTGGAAGTGGTCAAGTTCAAGTCCCAGCTCTGCTGCTGACTCCAGCTTCCTGCTCATGTATGCTCTGGGAGGCCTCAATGATGGCTCAGATAGTTGGATCCTTGCCACTCATGTGGGAGACCTGGATGGAGTTCTTGGCTCCCAGCTGCCACCTGGCCCATTCCGAGCTGTTGTAAGCATTTGGGAGCTTCTACCAGTGAGCAGATGGGAGCTAGCTAGCTCTCTCCCTCCCCTGCCCCTTCTTGCCCCCTCTCTCTGTGTCTCTCTCTGAGTCTTAAATAAGCAAACACTTTTTAAAAAGCCACAAAACCCTTTAATATCTTATGAGCAATACAATACTCATTGGGTCAAGGATACTTAAGGAATCAGCTTTAGGCAAAAATTAAGTGTTCCTATCCCTGTTTACCTCTTCTATGAGGATAACTCAAAAAAGTTCATGGGAGAATGGAACAAAAGGATAATGCCTATCTTCCATAAACTTTTTGAACATCCCCCCATAAATTCTACTTATCCCCCATTTTACATCAGAAAGAAAAGAGAGCTTTCTCCTCATGGGGCTGGCCTCAATTCTCTTCACAGCTTCTGAACACTGATTTTCTAACCCCTTCTCAATTTCTATTTGGGAGGAACATGTTAATTATGTCTTTTTAAAATTTTTTATGAATATGAAGAGAACAGATTTCATGTGTTTCACAGATAGACTTCTAAGACAATACCATACACTGCAACTGGTTATCACGTGGGCTCATGCAGCCATGAACCACATACTGTGGGCTGAAAGGGGGTTGAGGCAAGGGTCAGCATACCAGTGCAGCTCAGAGCACAGGGGCAGGTGTTTGGTGCCGTGGTTGAGATACTGCTTGGGATACCACAGCGTGTGGCAGCATGCCGGGTTCCTGTCTCAGCTCCACTTCCAGTCCTAGCTTCCTGCTCATCCTTATCCTGGGAAGCAGCAGGTGCTGGCTCAAGTGCTTGGGTCCCTACCACCCAGATGCAGTTCTGGGGTCCTGGCTTTGGCCTGAATCACTGGAGAGATGATCTTTCTGTTTCTGTCTCTATCTGCTTTTCAAATAAATAAAAATATATAAATTCCAAATACTTTTTTTTTTAAAAGTGTAGTGGGTGTTCTAGAAGAGGGTAGACCTGCCTGGGGCATTAAGCAACTCTCCAGCAAGCCTCTTGGCAGCGCGCTCACCCTCTGTGAAAGCAAGGAGCTCTGGAGTAGCCTGCTCTTCTCTCTGGAGACTCAAGCAAGCAGCCCCCAACACCTCGCTGTACAGCTTCCCTCTCATCAGGCCTGTGGCTCTGCTGAATGTTTGTAACCCCTAAACAAAACAAAGTCTGCGTTTTTTATTCACCTAAGGCTGTGATCCCATAAGCACATGCTTGCAAAATATATACTCAGAATTCACCCTGGCCACTGAGTTCCATGGAAACCAAATAACGGGAGATTAAGAGAGGCTGAGGGCATTTAATTTCTGGGTCAGGGCCTGGACTGATTTAATTCAAGCGGCTCTGATTTTATTTCTACCGGGGACTGGCATGTATATGAGAGCTTACTTTCCCAACTGGGGGTAATTGCTAGATGACATCACTTTTATGGCCATAGGCTCGCTTGTGTAATGGTTTGTAGAGCTTGAGGGGAATATTTCTAAATATAGTTCTTGGCTTGCTGCTCAAAAGTGCTTGAGCCAGAGGGCAGCTCCTGCCTCTCTTGTACTTTCCCAGGGACCCAAAATATTTTTATATATAGAGCCAGGGATTTTTTAAAAAAATTATTATTCTACCCCTAAAATGAACATAGTACATTCTCTAGCATTTATATAAATGGGTCTTTTGGGTTCCTGGGTTGAGAATGATGGCGCAATGATGACTCTTTGTCAGAGCTGGGACATTTTCCAGACCCAAATATGGGATTAAATGTGTTAGTGAGCAGTCCTGAAATGCCTCCGGATTTCAGAAGATTGTTTGGGTTCAGGGTTTGCACATCGCCCACTCACTTAGCCATACAAGTGCTATTTCTAAATATCCTTTTTCCAAAGCACTGGAGCTGGGATTATAAAGTGACAAATGGTAACTTCCCAAAATGTCTGGGCTCTGGCTCCTGGTGGTGGGCATGATGGCATCTGGGGCGGACGGGGTTGTTGGAGGGGGAGCTGCTGAGTATGGAGGAGACCTTGCTGGGCTCGTGGATACCCCAGCCTCTGCTTGCCCAGGGCCTGTCTCCGGCAGAATGCCAGGGGGCTAAGTCAGGAGGGACAGCTTAAAGCAGCCCTTTCTCCTTTCTGCCCCAAAGGCCTAGTCTCCCCGAAGGCCATGCGGTGGAATTCAGTCCAGAAGCCAAGAGTGCTACCACTCCACACTCACTAGCATGACTACAATCCAAAGACAATGAGAATATCAACAAGAACGTGGAGACATAGGAACCCTCCCACACTGCTCAAGGGGGTGTAAAATGGGCATCTAATTTGGAAGAGCCTGGCAACACTTCCAAAGGTTCAATATAAGGTTCCCATTGATGCATGGACCCAGCAGTTCCAATAGGTAAAGGCTGTGACAAAGGGGTTTGAAGTGTCTTTCGGTGGTGATGAAGATGTTCTCACGTTAGATTGTGGTGATGATTGCCCAAACCAATGAATATCCTAAGAAAACAATTGAGCGGTATACTTTAAAATATGGGTGAAGTGTATATTGTGTACATTGTATCTCAACTAAGTGTTTTCCAAGAACACAAATCAAGAGTCAGGGCCAACCTTGACTTCTAGAAGAGAGCTTCCAGCGCCCTGATTACACGTGGAGACTTCATAAGAAACGCGTTCAGGGGATGGTTGGAAAGTCATGTGCTACAAGTTTTACACCTCACGTGGGCCCTGTGCTGGAAGGAGGGCATAAAGAGAATGCAGAATTGAGAGCAGGTGAGTAGCTGGGCACTGAAGAAATCTGCGTGTGTACAGAAATAGGGTGTTTCTCTGAAGGCACATAAAGCCCAGAAGAACTCTGCCTCCTGTAAAAGCCGACACTGAGGTGGGTGCGTGTTTCCTAGCCTGCCTCGGCTTCTGCCCTCAGTGCGGTCCTATCATCTCAGCCCCACTTTGGAATGAGCCACCATTGATCCTTTTTAGGACTCTGGCCTCCCGTAAGGCCTTAATGCCTAAATGAAGCTTCTTGGCTTTGGACAGCTTAGATGTGAGAGGAATCTGCCCTTTATCATCATATCCTCCAGGTAAAAGATAGTAAGGTGATGGCCTGTGCCGCAGGTCACTAGGCTAAGCCCCGCCTGCAGTGCCGGCACCCCGGGTTCTAGTCCCGGTCGGGGCGCTGGTTCTGTCCCAGTTGTTCCTCTTGCAGCCCAGCTCTCTGCTATGGCCGGGGAGTGCAGTGGAGGATGGCCTGGATCCTTGGGCCATGCACCCGCATGGGAGGCCAGGAGGAAGCACCTGGCTCCTGGCTTCCGATCGGAGCAGCGTGCTGGCCGCAACACACTGGCCATGGCGGCCACTTTAGCGGTGAACCCATGGAGGAAGGAGGACCTTTCTCTCTGTCTCTCTCTTACTGTCTAACTCTACCTGTCAAAAAAAAAAAAAAAAGATATAAGATGCATCCAAAAGAATTGCTTAAAAAATGCTAGTCCTTGGGCCCCTGCACCCACATGGGAGACCTGGAAGAAGCTCCTGGCTCCTGGCGTTGGATCAGCGCAGCTCCAGCTGTTGTGGCCATTTGGGGAGTGAACCAGTAGATGGAAGATCTTTCTCTCTGTCTCTCCCTCTCACTGTCTGTAACTCTACCTCTCAAATAAATAAATAAATAATCTTTTTTAAAAAGGAGCTCAAGGAGCTGCCTTTGCCAGTGTAGAGTGTAGGAGTTCTCTACCCAGTCTGACGACTGGCATGTGCCCATGTAGGTGGCAGGAGCTCATCTCTGAATGGGTGAGATGGGTTATGCTAGATTGCATTTCTGATCACGTCTCTTTGGTTGCTATAAATATATTTCTCCATGTGTGCTATTTCCTGTGTACTTATGTATTTTGCAAATTTTGTTCACAATTATGCTGTACATCACTTTTAGAGTTTTTCTGAGTCCCTTTCAAGGCAGTCATTATGTCTTAAAACATCCCCCAGAGTCAGGCAGAGGCATTTATTACTTTTTAAAAAAATTCCTCTGTCCTTACCAGAAGCAGTGAAGGAGGGTTTGGGAGCAGTGACAATACAGAGGCGCCAAGATAGGAAAGATGATTAATTGGCAGGACTAACATGGGCGCTGTTGGAGAGAGGGCTGGGGCGGGGCGGCACGGGGTCCCGGCAGCCATCCCACTGCCTCTTCTCTCTGTCCCTGGATAGGATTTCCTGGCATCAGCAAGGCCGCCTCCTTGCGATGTTCCCAGGACATCCAGCATGCAAATGCTCCACCCTGAACCCAGTGCAGCCAACCCACTCAACACTGACTCCTTTTACTCCCGAATTACCAAGAATTCTCATGCATGGGAGGATGATGGCCTGGGTGTTCCTAATTGTCTTCCTAGCATCTAAAGTGGTGTTATTCACCCCTCTGGAAGCTGCTCTCCCTGATCCGTGATTCTCCTTAAGTTTTTAAGTGGCAAACCACCCTGTAGGAAACCCGTGGTTTCTGTTATTTTTCATGGAAAGTTTTTTAAAGGGCTTAGGAGTCCATAAGAGAAATCCAAGTCATTTGTTTGTTTGATGAGCCCTAGTGTCATGCTTTGGCCCCATCACGGTGTTCATGTGGCCAGCAGATCCCTCTGCCCCTGTGCACTGTGACTTCCTCCTGTGCAAACTGAAGATGAGTATGCACACACACAGCAGACACACACACACACACACAGAAGCACACACTCAGTGAGACTTGCTACACACATAGGCGTGCACAGACATGTACACCCTCAGACACACACCCCTCTATATGTAATGGCCCTGGGGATTCTAAACCCCTTTGCAAAGCTCAGGGCAACCTGATCATGAGTAGCCATGTCACTTGTGAGCAAAACCTCTCCAATGCAGTATGGGAAGCTGCCCTTGAAACTCAGTGACTTAAAGATGAGGGCAGAATCGGGGATGGGACTGAAGGCACTGGAGCCAGTGAAACCAGGCAACGTCCTCACCAGAAGTGAGGCACAACGAGTGTCCTGCAGCCCATGCGTCCACGGGCCCCGCTCCTGTTACCAGCTCAGACTGCAGCCTCCAGCACGAGCCTCCGTGGAGGACCAGTGCACTGTGCGTCAGGCTTGCTGCTGTCAGATGTTTATGTTCACTCTTGTTTCTTACAAAGCTTATTGTGGCCCCTTTATACTTGAAAAGTTCCCAGACCATAAGCTGAGAGTATATATTTAAGTTGAAAAGAATTCGTTTAAGTCACATTATTTAATCGTCGAATAAAACAGTGTCTTTATAACTGCCCCTATCTAGTCCATAATTACATGCTTTGGATAAGGGCCTGGTTCACATCCAAATTCCCCAGGAGATGAAGAGTGTCAGCTCAGGGCACACACACATAAGCGAACTGTGATATAACTTGCATTTATTTTTTCTTGAAAATACCAAGGCAGTTAGCTAATAGTCATGACACCATCATTCTCTGCATACTATTTGGTTTTCTTTTCTTTTCCTCTCTCCCCTCCACACCTCCCTTCATCCTTTTCTGCTTTCCTTCCCTCCTTCACCTTATAAATAAAAAAGTCTCTGTTTACAGGGTGTTTGTAGAAAGAATTCCTTAGTATCCCTTGACTTATTTCATGGGCATGGGTCTCCCATGGGGTGCAGGGCCCAAGCACTTGGGCCATCCTCCAATGCACTCCCGGGCCACAGCAGAGAGATGGCCTGGAAGAGGGGCAACCGGGACAGAATCCGGCGCCCCGACCGGGACTAGAACCCGGTGTACCAGCGCCGCTAGGCGGAGGATTAGCCTAGTGAGCCGCGGCACCAGCCCACACCTACAGGTGGTACTGTGACTGCATTCTCTCCCGCCCCTCACCTCCCCTTCCAGCTTTGGAAGCTCACCTTTGGGCATCAGACCTCTTGAGTTTGGAGGTGGATTCCCTTCTGAAACAGTTAAAAACAATCAGCAATTAGTTGTAACATATTTAACTCCGTGTCCTTCCTTGGCTTCAGTTCTATCTGTGGCTTATCCGCTAGAAGAGCAAGCGCTTTTGTAGAAAATCCTCCACCATGAGAAAAACTGGGACTGGCTGGTTGCCTTCACCCCCTCTCGCCACTCTCCTCCACCCTCTTCCATGTGGATATTACGTCCTTCAGATCAGTTTCCTTAGATCCGTTTTCATCCTAGCCTAAACTTAGAGTGTTTCCAAAGAAAATGCCTGTGATTTTCCGCACTGCCCACAGAAATAGCCATGCCTCCAGCGTTGCTATGAAGTTGGGCTCTTTGCTTGGCCAGGCAGAATCTGCTGGGTCCTCCAAGATTTAAAGAGTTAAGAGAATTGATGGAATGTCTTGGAATGTTGGCAGGGGAGGCTGCAGCCCTCTTCCTTTTGCGTTCTCACCCTGGACAGCTGGAATCCGGCACCATGAGAACTCAGTGGTGTCTCCGGAAGGGCGATCTTTAACACTCTGTTCTCACCTGCCAGCTTCCGTGTGTGTTGCAGTGCACCTAGAGGCCCGGATGTGCAACTCCGCACACTGAGGTTGATCTTGACCTTGTCCCTGGTGAGTCCCCCAAGACGGGGAGGAAAGACTTTTATTTAGGAGCCTGCTGCTAATCCTTGAGGGCAAACTCTCTCAAGATCCGGGAGGGTAGCAGTGAGGGAAGGTAGGGAGCGAGGAGAGCAAAGAGGAAGCTGAGTTATTTTGGCTGCATTTTTTTTTTCTTGCCTGATTACATCGCAGTGACCTTGCAACTTTGTGTTACTAAAAGAACACAGCCCTCTCTGTGGGACCTGGGACCAGAGGGGCAAAGGCAGAGCCTGCAGTTGGTATGGCTGCCGGGCTGCTTGGCTCTGAGGATCTGCCCATGTAGCTGGGACCCGACTGGCCAAGCGCTGAGGACTGGCCGAAGATGCTGAGACCATGGTGCATCTGCAGGGCTGTCTACCAGGTGGGACCCACATCTCCTGTTCTGTTTCCTTGCACTGTGAGAAAGCGGCGTGGAGCAGTAGGGGAAGGAATGGAACTTTGATCGTCTGTGCCTAGGACTCGGGGGAGCAGGCTGATGTGAACTGAGTGTCACCTCCTTGGGGTCAGGTACTGTGGGAGGTGCTCAGAAAGTGTGACCTCCATGAGATTTCAGAACACTTCTATATCTGGTGTGTGTGTGTCCCCGCTGGGGAGATGGAGAAGGATGTAAGTTGTTCAGCATTGCTTAGAGTGAATGGCAGTGCTCTGTGGCTTAAACATTAGTTTCTCTGGCTCCAAAGACAAAGGATGCTCTTTTCACCTGCTCATGTTCCTCTCACAAGGGGTGATGCTTTCTGAAAGCATGTGGGTGCCTGTGTGTTGGGGTAGTGACAAGCTGGTAAGGGACATGTGGCATGTGGGACAGCAGGCAAGGGGGATGAGCACCAGCAACAATATCCAGGCTTGCCCTCTTTCCAACCCCTGTCTTTCAGTGGATTTTATTGCAGCGTATGCAATCAGATGTTTGCGCATAGCTTATGCCCATATCTGCAGGAGGGTGGCACTTGGGGTATCAGTTGGCCGGGGAGCATTTCAGAAAGAGGAGACGAAAGCATCTGCTCTTTCAGCCATAGGTCTGGATGGGTGGCATTGTGCCACATCTCTGCCCAGCCTGAGAGGAGCCAGACTGCTTAGGGTAGGGGTCGGGAGGGAGGCAGAGCATCACGTGCTTCTTCGAGGGGGCGGATCACCAATTTCCCTGAAGCGGCTGGGTTTTCGTAACACAGTTTATTTCATTAAGTCAACTTGAATGGTCTGACCCTCTGTCTCTTTGATCACTGGTTCACCACACAGTTTGCAACCACGCAGGCACAGCTGGCTTTTGTATTTTGAGGCATCACTTGGCAGTGTATAAAGCCTTAATGAACCATAATGGCTAAACTACTCAGGACCGCATGGCTCTCCCTTCCCCCAGCCCCTCCCAGTGGAATGTCTGGATTGAAAGGATAGTTCCTTGGACAGTGTGCTCAAGATGCTGGCACAGTGCTCCCCGCCCCCACCACCATCACAATCCCTGCCACCCTTCTTCGTCTGCCTACGGGCAGACATGATGTCTGGAGATGATATTTTCCCAGAATTCTTGGGCTTGATGAGCATGCACCTACCGTTTTACTATAAATAGCAGCATTAACTATAACAGATCTTGTATAAGGGGAACTTCAGGGAAATCTTCCCAACTTTGACAACCATCTGAAAAATTTACATGTTTCCAATGACAGGTTTTGAATCTGAAAGCATTCTGGGGCAGTAGGGAGTATGTCCCAGCTGGAGAATTCTCACAGTGATGTGGATGATTTGTTCATTTGAAGCTGTTTTGGACATCTCAGTTTGGAGTCAGATGTCCCCTAGCATGGAATTTTGGGGTAATTGTTTAATCAAGTTCATTCATTCAGGTTGCGCGTTTGGCCTGGCGGTAAGACACTGCTTAGGACCCGCACGTCCCAAATCGGAGTGCCTGGACTTGATTCCAGGCTCTGCCTCTGAGCTTCCTGCTAGTGCAGCCTCTGGAAGGCAGTGGGGATGGCTCCTAGTACGTTGCTGCCAACCCACGGGAGTCCTGGATTGCGTTCTGGTCTCAGCTTTGCCCCCTCCCATCTGGCCCAGGGCCACAGTGGGCATCTGGGGAGCGCACCAGTGTTCAAGGGAATGCGTGTGCTCTCTCTCCTCCTCTGTGCCTCTCAGATGATAATAAAGATAATTCTGGCTTTCCAGTTATTGCTGTGACTAATGAGAGTTTGGGAGCCCTGGTTCCTTGCTTCCCCTTCCTACTTTCTTTTGATCTCCCTGTTTGTCTTGTCTCACATCTCATCAAATCATATAAAAACCGGGCTTCTCAGTAAGCAGGGTGGGCTAGCCCCACCTCTGGGGACTCAGGACTTCCATTACTGATAAAAGATAGTGAGGAAAACACCAGCCCTGGAAGGGAATTTATTCTGCTGAACCCCAATGCAGTTCAGTTCATTTCAGAAGACACCAGCCCAGCAGCAGTTCTCTGCCTGGCCTCGTTGGGGACAGATGCGACACAAGCTCATCACTTCTCGTGCTTGGCCACGGTCAGTGTCTGGCCGAGGCGGGCAGGTCAGCCATGGGGCAGATTCCTCTAGCCCATCAGCCTTGCCTGCAGCAGGGAGATCATCCCACAGACCGCTCTGGAAAGCAGTTTCTGAGGGGAAAGCCAGCACAGTAAGTCTATGCTGGACCGGTTCACCAACCTGGGAGGTGAGGTTAGCACCAAAGCCCAGTTAGCCAACTGCAGAGCCAAGCTGATGGGGCTGGAAGGAGGAAGAGAAACCAAAAGCAAAGAACAGCTGCCAGGGACCAAGGGGTGGTCAGCACGGGTTCCAGACAAGACTTCTTAACTCCTGGCAGCTTGTGACTGCTCTCAGTCCTCGTGTCTCCTGGCAAGCAGAGGGCACGAGGGGACCTTTAAAACAAGATGAGAGTACTTCAAATACATTCATGGGAAATGGAATTAAAAAGCAAGATTATTTGGTTGCAAAAGTATGCTGAAATCCACATGCAGGATGAGTCTTGAAAAAGTTCATGGAGATTGTGTGTTATGAAAAAACTACATTGATTTCAGTTTTTTGCAGCAGGGCTGGTGCTGTAGCACAGCGGGTTAAAGCCCTGGCCTGCAGCACTGGAATCCCATATGGCTGCCGGTTCAAGTCAACTTTACTTGGGAAAAGTTCCCCTCCCCACCAAAAAAATTTCAGTTGTCTTAGCATTGGCTTTCTCCCTCACAAAAACAGAGTGATAGTTTCACAGCCTTGCAAGAACTCAGCTAGGGATACTGAGGATGTTAAAGTGTTGCAAATAAGAAAGAATATATAAACATGAAATGTTGTTTCTTAATGGACGGTGCTCCCATCGCTTGTGCCCTTTTTGGCTACCATCAAGTGTAATGTACTGTGCTCCTTTTATATTTAACCTAAGGGGAAAAAACTCATTGAGAGTACATCATGCATTGCTTTTTTAAAAAATATTTATTTATTTCTTCAAAAGGCAGAGTTACAGAGAGGCAGATGTACACACACTGAAAGAGGGAGGTGTCTTCCATCTGCTGGTTCACTCCCCAAATGACTGCAACAGCTGGAGCTGCGCTGATCCAAACCTAAGAGCTTCAGTCAAGGCTCCCACACAGGTGCAGAAGCCTAAGCACTTGGGCCATCATCCACTGCCTTCTGAGCGCATTATCAGTGAGCTGGATAGAAAGTGGAGCAGCCAAGACTCAAACCGGCGCCCATATGGGATGCCAGCACTGCGGGTAGCGGCTTTACCTGCTACACCACAGCATCAGCCTTGTCTTATGTATTGTTAATACGGTGATTAATGACCATTTTATGTATTTTATTTAAGCTGGACTTTCAGGGTACAGTGTCTCCTTAGGTAAAGCAATAACTATCTATCACTGGATGAATTTCAGATTCACTTGAGAAGGGTTACCTGCTATGCCACAGTGCCAGCCCCAATTTAATTTTTTTAAAAGAGAAAAATATTTGAAAAGGAGGGTGACAGAAGAAGGATTTATTTATTTATTTATTTGCAGTGAGAGAGAGAGAAGGAGACATACATCTTACTTTAGCTGGTTCATTCACCAAATGCCCATAACAGCCAGGCCTAGGCCATCAAGAAACCAGGAGCCAGGAACTCTATCCAGATCTCCCACATAGGTGGCAGCAATCCAAATAATGGGCCATCATCTTCTGCCTCCCCGGGTACTCATTAGCAGGGAAGTGTGTATCTGAGACTTGAACCCGAGACTCTAACATGAGATTCAATCATGGCAAGTGATGGCTTAACCCACTGTGCCACAGTGCCTGCCCTGTGGGAAGCTTTTAAGAACAACCATGCCCAGCCATGGCTCCCAGAGATTCTGATTTTATTGACCTGGGGATGGGTGTTGGTATTTTTAAAAGCTTTCTGGATGGTTCTGATGTGCAGTCCAGCTACAGAGTGACTGAGCTGAGTGGGCCTCCTTATACTATCAAGTAGTAAGTGGGTGCTTAAAAAAGCCCTAACAGGCAGTGTCAGAGTCACTGTGCCGGGGGGTGGCAGGAGAGGGGATGAGTATCTTATATATGCATAGTATGTATGCATGTAAATCATGTCCTAAGCCTTACCCTGGACTTAAAGAATAAGAATGTCTGGCACCAGCACTGTGGCAAGTGGGTTAAGCCACTGCTTATGACACCATCTCATATGAGAGCAGCAGATGGAGTTCCACCTACTCTGCTTCCAATCCAGCTGACTGTTAATGCACCTGGCAAAGCAACAGAGCATGGCCCTGGTGGAATTCCAGGATCCTGGCTTTGGTCTGGCCCAGAACTGGCTGTTTGGAGAGTGAACCAGCAGATGGAAGATTTTCTCTCTTTCTCTCTCTCTCTCTCTCTCTCTCTCTCTCTGCCTTTCAAACAAATAAATAAACAAATATTTTTTTAAAAAGAAGAATGTCTAAGGGCAGGGACTGGCAATCTGTGTTCTTAACATGTGACTCCTATTATTAATAGGAACTGCTTATAGATGCCATCCCCAACTTACGATGCACAGCCTTAAGATTTTAAAACTCGAAATAGTGCAAAAGTGATATGCATTTAGTAGAACTTCAGAGGTTGAATTTGGCTCTTGCCCCGGGCTGCCCACCTGCAGTCCCATCCTGACACACGAGACAGCAGCAGCTGCAAGCAGAGGCCCCTGTCGGCTCCCTGATCACGGGCAGACCATGGAAGGCAGCGCGCTGTACTGTGCTGCTCAGCTAGGAGGTGTGGCGGGTCAGGCGCATTCAGTGCGTTTTCCACTTAGCAATGGTTTTATTAGAGGGTAGCCTCATCCCAAGTCAGGGAACATCCACAGTGCAAAAAACAGAGGATGATGTGCCTCCTAAAAACTGAGGGTCATAGGCAGTGACCTTGACAAGGTGAC